TTTTCACAAAAATATTAAGCAACAGAACTATTTTCAACATTGATAATAAGACATGTTTCTTGAGCATCATTCGCATATCAGCATATTAGAATGATTTCTGAAGGATCACGTGACACTGAAGACTGGAGTAATGGCTACCTGAATTTCAGCTTTGCCATCACAAGAATTAATTACATTTTAAAATATATTATAATAATATATACCTTAATTTTAATTTGTAATAATTTTACATTACTTTTTATACTGTATTTGTAATCACATAAATGCAGACTTGCAAGCATAAGAGACTTTTTTCAAGAACATTTAAACATCAAGGCCCATATTTATCAAGCTTCTTAAAGTGCCATTTTAGTCTTAAGTGCTGAGCGTACTATAAGTCTTCTGAATCCTTATATATGGTCTGATCCATACATATAATCGTTATTCACTGAAAATCTTCCTCCACTTCCCAGGTCACCATTCACTTTCATTGGATGGAAAAAGCAGCTTGGATCACAGAAGAAACAATGTCCTTAGTAGGTATGGAATGACATGAGAGTGAGTAAATGATGACAGAATTCAAATTTTTCTGTGAACTATTCATTTAAATTAATCAGAGTCTGAATAAAGACACTGCAGAGATGAGAACAAGGAGGGTAGAGAGAGGGTAGAGAGACAGACGGAGAGCAAAAAAAAAATCAAGATGACGAGAGGTGCCAATTCTAAATTATACACCACGCTCTCGTGATGGCTGGAATCCCCCGTAGTCCTTGTGTGGCACCTCCGCTGGACCCTGAAGGAGCCCATGCTGGATCCTCAACAAGCTATGAGCATCTTAAAAGCCTCTATAAGCCCGTATTTAAACAAAGCAATCCAGCCTGATCACACTTTCGACAGTGCAACCGGCGGTTAGTGCTGTGTCTGAACACTATCACAGCAGGGAATCCACGTTTGCGAAAATTCAAGCACTCCAGGGCAGCCGCACTAACGCTACTCAAAGCAAATACAGAGTCAATGGAGGAAAGAAAGAGCGGATGTGAGGGTACCGTGGATTTGGTAACGAGATTCAATGACAACAAATTGCATTATGTCTTAGCACTTCAAAAATACATGCACAATTTGAACAGATGGAGAAAAGCGTGCAAACAAACACTCAAATAAAAGATCACTTAAAAAAAGCACAAGCAAGGCTTGTGTAAAGTTGTATGCGTGATATAATTTACCTGCTAAAGAACATGCCAGAATAGTTTTCCTTGGTTTTCTCGCAATCTTATTATAACATTTACACAACGTACTACTAGACTGAAAGAGCTTTGCTGCCCTCTGTTGGCCAACACAGGCATTTTTGAGTTCCCCAGAAGGACATTTTTTTGTCTTTGAGAAATATTTCATGATTTAAAAAAAAAAACGCTTTTAATAGAAAATGTAAGACAATTCATTAATAAAAATAATAACTTTAAAACTGCACATTATCATACTTATCATACATTTTCATGGTCAATTATGGGTTGATTATTAATCTGGCTCATAAGTATCAATCAAATCATTAAACATATGCAACATTAAATTTGCAAATCATTCCTTAAAGCTAAGAATCACTCTTACTCTCCCAGTTATTTAAGACAGCTCGAGAGGTCTCTCAAGTGGTTAGGAGTTGCCAGTAGGGGCTCGTGATGGCACTGAGGAGACAGAGACATATATATATATGTGTGTGTGTGTGTGTGTGTGTATTTATTTATTTGTTTATTTATTCCTGTGATGGCGTAGCTGAATTTTCAGCAGCAATTATTATTTTCTATTAAAGGAAACATTTATTATAATAAATTATATATAGATATATAATAAATATACGTTTCAATGTAATTTTATTAGGTTGCAAATCAAGCAAGATAGATTATGCGTGATTCCCTTGCACTGCTTCGTTCTGCCTATAAGAATCCTGTTTAATGTATTACTTTTCTCTGGAGAGCAATGAGGTGTGAGGTCTAAAATCACTAATTCAGTTTAGTATCCTCTCGACGACACCACAACTCCTCTCATTCTCTCTCCCCTCATTCTGAACTGTCCTTATGAGACCTGTACGCTTATCTTCATAGCCTTCAAGAGAGGGACTTGAAAAGATACTGAGATGAAGAAGAAAAGACTGCAGGCTAGTGAGGGGCAGACACTAAGAAAACAGGTATAGTTCACCCAAAATGTTTCCTTCCATGGAACGCAAACGGAGAAGTTTAAACAAATATCTGAGCTGCGTATATCTATACAATGGAAGTGGATGGTGTCCTCAGGCTATCAAGCTCCAAAAGCTCTGTAAAAGCGTCATAACAGTAATCCATATGACTCACGTACTATAAGTCTTCTGAATCCTTATATATGGTCTGATCCATACATATAATCGTTATTCACTGAAAATCTTCCTCCACTTCCCAGGTCACCATTCACTTTCATTGGATGGAAAAAGCAGCTTGGATCACAGAAGAAACAATGTCCTTAGTAGGTATGGAATGACATGAGAGTGAGTAAATGATGACAGAATTCAAATTTTTCTGTGAACTATTCATTTAAATTAATCAGAGTCTGAATAAAGACACTGCAGAGATGAGAACAAGGAGGGTAGAGAGAGGGTAGAGAGACAGACGGAGAGCAAAAAAAAAATCAAGATGACGAGAGGTGCCAATTCTAAATTATACACCACGCTCTCTTGATGGCTGGAATCCCCCGTAGTCCTTGTGTGGCACCTCTGCTGGACCCTGAAGGAGCCCATGCTGGATCCTCAACAAGCTATGAGCATCTTAAAAGCCTCTATAAGCCCGTATTTAAACAAAGCAATCCAGCCTGATCACACTTTCGACAGTGCAACCGGCGGTTAGTGCTGTGTCTGAACACTATCACAGCAGGGAATCCACGTTTGCGAAAATTCAAGCACTCCAGGGCAGCCGCACTAACGCTACTCAAAGCAAATACAGAGTCAATGGAGGAAAGAAAGAGCGGATGTGAGGGTACCGTGGATTTGGTAACGAGATTCAATGACAACAAATTGCATTATGTCTTAGCACTTCAAAAATACATGCACAATTTGAACAGATGGAGAAAAGCGTGCAAACAAACACTCAAATAAAAGATCACTTAAAAAAAGCACAAGCAAGGCTTGTGTAAAGTTGTATGCGTGATATAATTTACCTGCTAAAGAACATGCCAGAATAGTTTTCCTTTGTTTTCTCGCAATCTTATTATAACATTTACACAACGTACTACTAGACTGAAAGAGCTTTGCTGCCCTCTGTTGGCCAACACAGGCATTTTTGAGTTCCCCAGAAGGACATTTTTTTGTCTTTGAGAAATATTTCATGATTTAAAAAAAAAAACGCTTTTAATAGAAAATGTAAGACAATTCATTAATAAAAATAATAACTTTAAAACTGCACATTATCATACTTATCATACATTTTCATGGTCAATTATGGGTTGATTATTAATCTGGCTCATAAGTATCAATCAAATCATTAAACATATGCAACATTAAATTTGCAAATCATTAACTTCCATGGATGCAGAAAGCTGCAAGATGTGCGTACGATGTTCACATCAATTGAGGACAAAATTATTAGCAAAAAAGTCCATAAAGCAGGACGCTCCAGCCCTTTAAGACCATTAATTTAACCCTTTAATTATCAGCTTTCAAGCTCTTAACTTCATGGCACACTGGTGAGGATTTAAATTGGACTGAGATTTGAACATCTGCAGAAACACTTCCTTCAATCAGATCTTTTTCAGGTAAGAGCAGTAACAATCAGCTCCAGCTGTGGAGGTATAGGACAAACACTGCAGGAGGATCTAGTTGATCATTTAAAGTGTGATGCTACCTAACACTTTTATCAAACTGTGCTGTATTGCAGACCGTGATACAATGCTGCCCTCTAGTGGTCGAAACACACTACAAACAAGCTCTGAGGTATCAAACTGTATAAACACAGCCCTGAAGCTCATTGCAATGAAAACATCAGGAGAAAAGCCTTATTTAAATAAAACCCTTTAAGTAAATGAATTTATGAATTCATTCATGTTACAAATACTAATAAATTCCAAAACCCGAGCCTCATGGGGTGACATATGATTCAATTAGTAAAACATTTCTGTGCAATTTACACAATTTTTATTTAGTACGGATTCATTAAACTGATTCATCAAAAGTAACAGTAAAGACATTTATGTTTTTGTTAATAAGCACAGCTACTGAAAATGTAGCTTTGCCATCACAGGAATAAATTATATTTGAAAATATATTAAAACAAAAAAAACTCTTATTTTAAATAGTATTTTTTTTTATCAAATGAATGCATGTTAACAAATCATCATTAATATTGTTAATTAATATGGTTCATATTTTAACTGATCATGTCTCATCCAGTCATAATTAGAGTTGGAACTATCTGTACAACTTATAGTGGGACATACTGTGGAAAACCGGGTTTTGTTTGATTTTTTGACATTAAAGAGTTTAATGTACTATGCAGACATACTCAAGTGCACAAAGCTCCCTCCCCATTCCACGATCTGTGATTAATTAACTAAAATACAAAATAAAGCCTGCACACACACTTCTATATAACTAAATGCATCATATTAAGCAAAATCAGATGCATTATATGACAGTGAGTAACAGTCTCTTTCCATCCCAGTCCACAATAATGAAACTCAGCGCTGTGTTGCCCTCTACTGGACAATCTCTGATAGAGCTTTTCTTTCACACCAGAACAATAACTTGGGACCAAAAATATAGGATACCTCTAATTAACCATTCCAGTAATTTTAGAGAAAAAAAAAACAAATCTACAATAAATGCTACACCATATAATGACCTTTTAGAGAATTCTGTGTTTTCATACTTTTCTGTACTTTTTGCCATAAAGTGTAGACAGACAGACAGACAGATAAATGATAGATAGATAGATAGATAGGTCAGGACTGTATGAAGGCTCAAAGAACAGTCAGGTGATATTTTTAGCTGCATCCTGTGAACTCACCTGATTTGTGGGCTGATCGTAAACATGTGAGCGAGGCATTGAGCCGAGCACATTCTTCATCACTCGCTCCAAACTTCTGCAGAGCCTCACACACCTGCTCATCCGACATCTCCAACAGAGCCTCCAGAGTCAGCTCACCTGGAGAGATCTCCTACAATAAAGAGACAAGTCTGAGATGTGCAAGCTGACCTAGACTGAAAAATCATTTGTATGTCATTCACTTGCGCCCCATGAGATTTTTGAGCCAAGTGGATTTTGAATACAACTTTCAAAAAAGTATGTTAAAATAGTATACTACTGTTCAAAAGTTCAGGGTCAGTGAGAGGTGTTTTTATTTTTTTTTTTTTTACAAATGTAATACTTTTATTCAGCAAGGATGCATTAAGTTGATCACAATTGACAGTAAAGACATAATGTTACAAAGGATTTCAATTTCAACTTTAAATTCATGAAAAAAATAAACTGTCCCTAAACCTTTGAACAGTATTGTTTATTTTAGTCACATATACATCATTTATTCACATACATGTTCCTCAAAACTCATATAAGTTGGTATCAAAATGACAAGCAGTGCAAATACTATATTAGCCCATTTAATTACTATGGGAAATTCAAAGTGAAATTGCATAAAAAAGGGCATTAATAGAATGAAAAACATGTTAAAGTTAAAAATTATCAATAAGTTATTCATTTTATTAAATAATAAATAAATGTATCATGTTAAACAAATGTACCTTTTGATTCAAGTAAAACATTAAACAATACTGTTTTTATATAATTTAAGTATGATTTGATCTGAACAAAGAAATCATTTGAAATAATACCTCCTTTAAAAAAAAGTAACAGGGTTTATAAAACTAACCTACAGAATATTGAAATGAACTGATGACAAAAGACTTGAGACTTAACTTGGACTCATAAACATGTCTGCAACACATAACATTACTGATGCTGTTATCCACAGTAAATTACAATAAATGCTACAGGGACATATTAGACCAATAAACTTATTAAAACAAATGCTTTGCTCAATGGTGACAGATTCAAAACTACAACCTTCAATTACCATGCAAGATGCCTATTACATTCAAATTGAAAATGTAAACACTCAGCTGTCAGCATCTTTAAAATATAACATTATTTTAGCTTTTAATTCTAAAACATACAACTTTATTCTTCGCTTCAGTCTCAATAGTGCACAACAGTCCCTGTCCACTTTTTTCATCGGTCTTCATTCAGGAAGTATTTTTCCCATTCATTCTTTCCAAAGATCATTTTCAAAATGTCTTTATTTAAGAGTTCTAAACCACAAACTAAACCAACAGGCTATGAGGTGAATCACAATATTACAAACTTTGATTTGTAACGAAAATTATTTGAAAATCGGACAAAAAGGCAAAGGTACAAGACTCTGTGCTTAACAGCTCTAAAGAGGGAAGGAACTACAATCCCATGAAGCACTGCAACTGACATATCGAATTCAAAACAAAGGAGAAATATAAAAATATTGATTTAAAGATGTTGGTTATATATAGAGAAACAAACTCGTTGAAATAATGTGAGCTGATGGCTTCAGCAAAAGCATATTCCATTGGTAAATACCCCTGTGGACAAAATTAATAGGATTTTTATTTGAGGAACTGTTGTGTTCTACATAGTTGCAATTCCTTCTCCACATCAGCAGGGGGCTTCAGCACATTGGACAGCGCCAACACTTCAGCACTGAGGACAGCGACACAGGAGGAAAAACCTCAAGGCCTTCAGAGTATCTGCTGTTCTAGATCATATGTTTACAACCTTTTATGCCATCAGAAGGGAAATATTTCGAGATGTACTGCATGGGGAGGCTCAGAAGCAGCTACTTCCCACAAAACATCCTGATCCTACATAAGCATGCTCTCACTAGCCAACCGTAAACCAGTCACACATTTACATATAATTACACATCTCTCCACACACTCACTTAAATCTGGATTACACAGGAGGAAAAACCTAAAGGCCTTCAGAGTATCTGCTGTTCTAGATCATATGTTTACAACCTTTTATGCCATCAGAAGGGAAATATTTCGATGTACTGCATGGGGAGGCTCAGAAGCAGCTACTTCCCACAAAACATCCTGATCCTACATAAGCATGCTCTCACTAGCCAACCGTAAACCAGTCACACATTTACATATAATTACACATCTCTCCACACACTCACTTAAATCTGGATTTCACATCACCATGTTCACTTTAGTATACAATTTCTAGATATTTATATATTGTATTTATATTCTTTCTTCTGTTTTCTGCCTTTATTTTCATTGCATAAACATTGCTTGTAAAACATTTCACTGCCATCCCATTTGAGCATGTAGCAACTAGGACTAAACTCTGAAATGTGTGTAATTTGTCTGCTTTCTTAACATATTGTTCCTGTTTTCTAATCATTTCCTCTTACCAATTTCAACTTGAAATCAAGCACTGACAATGAATCAATATGGTGTAATTAAATCAATACGTAGGGTTAGTAAAAATATCATAAATTTAATATCATAAATAAAAATATCAAACAGGTGTAATTGTTTTTAGTAATAAAGCGGAGTAAAATGTTCAGTATTTAAGACAAGATTTAGTGACATTTTCTTATTCAGTATTTTCACTTGCAGTATCAAAACTTGCTTTTCTTTTCTCTGCTTGTTTTGATCTGATTTGCAAATATTGCTTATGACAGAAATTGCTGTTCTTACAGTATATTAAAATCATCGCTTTAAATCATACATTACTGTGCACTTCCAAAAGTTAGAGACCAACTGGCTTTATTTGCTTGCCAGATTTAGATGCATTTGGTACTTAGTCCTTCTGGACATTGATAATAGATTGTGGCAGTATGAAAAAACGTACAAGGATTTTTAATGTGTTATGGCCGAGCGGAGGAGAGAAATCAATTATCCGGAAGTGAGGAAATGTGTATTTAAGGTGGAGCTGCAGGAGAGCGCAGCAGTAATTAGCAGATAGATGCAGGTCACCTGAATCGAGTCAGACGCTGTCGCCGCATTGTGGAGACCTCGCTGTGTTTGGGCAGGGTGGATCGCTACGAGCGTGAGTTGCCGGGCGATCGTTTGAGTGTGCGTGCTGCACCTCCGGACACCAGCTGCAGAGCGAAGCAAGTCTCTTATGCTGACAAGTGCGAGCGGGATCTCAAGGTGAAATGCTGTTGTTCATCTCTTAAACCTCATGTTAAGAAAACTTCCCCCTGCCATTAGCGGCCAGCAATCCACTCGTATCTCAAAAACACACACACTCTTTTTTGTCACACACAAACATCGCAAACATCCACAAACATTAACGCGCACACTTTCACGAAACACTTACCGTTAGTAAACCTTGCTGTTTGGTATTTGTATTATCTACAAATATAATCAAGTGTTTAATAATGTTTAATGTGATCTAAGAATTCTATATTTAATGTTTTCTTCCGTGTTTCTTTTGTCTCTTGTTACTACCTTCTACACATTGTATCTCAAGGAGTGTTGAATCTGCTGAGGTCAAGGAGTGTTGAATCTGCTGAGGTTTACATGCATCAGTGAAACTGCTACCTCAGAGGCACCTTCTTCCATTTTCTTTCAAGTTTTATTATTTCCTTGTCATTGTTGGACTACAAAATCGGTAGAAAGACTATATTGGAACTTAGCCTTTTGAACTTTGGTGGTGTAACGGGGCTGACGAGACGTGAGACGTGCGGATCCATATGCAAGCTTTATTAAAGCAGAGAGGAGGTCAGAAACACAGGCAGGGTCGAACGGTGGCAAACAGGATTGTTGAAAATATGAGTGTGAACCAAAGTACTACGTTTTCTGTTTGATTCCATATTGATTGTTGAAAATATCTCTGTGAAACTGAGGTTGCATTAGAACTTGAAAAAGAACGCAAAGTTTTTCTGTGTTTGTTTTTTTTTATTAATTGTTAAATACAACTTTGAAACTATGAACCTGAACTTATTTTGTGTGGACATTTCATTCAATTTTTTTTTTATTTCATCGGTGGTTACATCTGATAGAAATTTTCTTAGAGCCCGCCACCGCTACAAGATAATGTAGAAATTAAAGTTGCTAACTGATTGGATGAACTAAAAACTTTCATTTTCCAAAGATATGAGCTGAGACCAGCATTATTTTAGCATCACTGACTGATATACTATTATAGTTTTTGCTAATATTTTCAATTAGACTTTATTTTTATATATTCTGTTTTCATTTTAATTTTGGTTAATGTTTTCATAATTTTGTTATGTTTTTGTTATTTTTGTAATTGGTATTAGTTTTTTTTTTAATATGTCTATACAGTTTTTTATTACGTTTTAGTTTATTTAGTCTAAGCTGAAAATATTTATTTTTTTATATTTTATTTCTGTTAATGTTTATTTTTATTTCAAGTGCTGTGTAGAATTAGATTTTGTTTTTATATTTTCTGTTTTCATAATAATTTTGAAGTTTTTGCAATTTTTGTAGTCTTTAAGTTTTAGTTTTATTTTAGTTATTTTAGTACTTCAATTTTATAAAAAAATTAGAAATGTTGCCAGCTGTTTTTAATATTTTATTTTGGTTAATGTTTATTTCAAGTAATGATTTTGTTAATGGTTTTAGTTTTAGTTAACGATAATAACCCTGTTTGAGACAAAAATTAAAATTCCAAAGATTTTATTAGTAATGTCAATCACAGGGCTGATTACCTAAAGCAAATGAAACAAATACTAACCCCTAAACCCTAACTTTAGTATAGCATTGGTAGCACATCTTAATAGACAGCATTACAGTTTGTCACAATCGAATTCATCCATGATATTTCTAACTGAATCCATGAAGTCTGAACTTTTCTTGACAGATGACTGTGATGGAGTTGGTCAATTAAATCATCTGTGGGGTGGGGTTTGTGCATGACTGGTTTAGAACACAACACACAGGATTGCACATACCTCAATAACCTCCTTCCTCATGTTAACAATGCGGAACCAGTGTCCCAGCTGCGGGAATCCATCCAACTCCACATTCTGCTCCTGTAAGGACACTTTACGCTTGCAAGAGAGCTGCCGACTAAAATACTTCACCAGTTTACCCTGAAAAAAAAAGAAAAAAAGAACTTTATGTAGCACTCATTAACCTACAGGTGCATCTCAATAAATTAGAATGTCGTGGAAAAGTTCATTTATTTCAGTAATTCAACTCAAATTGTGAAACTTGTGTATTAAATAAATTCAATGCACACAGACTGAAGTAGTTTAAGTCTTTGGTTCTTTTAATTGTGATGATTTTGGCTCACATTTAACAAAAACCCACCAACTCACTATCTCAACAAATTAGAATACTCCATAAGACCAATAAAAAAAAACATTTTTAATGAATTGTTGGCCTTCTGGAAAGTATGTTAATTTACTGTACATGTACTCAATACTTGGAGGGGGTTCCTTTTGCTTTAATTACTGCCTCAACTCGGCATGGCATGGAGGTGATCAGTTTGTGGCACTACTGAGGTGGTATGGAAGCCCAGGTTTCTTTGACAGTGGCCTTCAGCTCATCTGCATTTTTTGGTCTCTTGTTCCTCATTTTCCTCTTGACAATACCCCATAGATTCTCTATGGGGTTCAGGTCTGGTGAGTTTGCTGGCCAGTCAAGCACACCAACACCATGGTCATTTAACCAACTTTTGGTGCTTTTGGCAGTGTGAGCAGGTGCCAAATCCTGTTTTCCACGACATTCTAATTTATTGAGATGCACCTGTATATGATTTTTTAAAATTTTTAATATGTAAATATAAGTTGAACAATTTACATCAGTCACATATGCAGGTCTGTAAGCGAACTCTAAATGCAATGCTTGGCATTTTTATCTGTCCTTCATGTCACTCAATATTTTATGATCTCTTTGAACCGATTCACAGCATGTTGGAAAAACATGAATATTCTAAACTGGACAAGTTTCCCAAGAGTGATGCCATTGCAGTGTTTGTGCAGGGAAACGAGGAGGAATACGAAGGCAACATTTTAAGCTTTGTTACTACCTCCATGAATAAACAACACACAAAAAAGCTCACAGGAGACACTAGCTTATTTTCAGCACTGAAAAGAATTTGGTACAGAATTTTTTTTTACTCATAAAATGCTAGTTAATTTCAAAAACAATCACAGAAAAACAGCAAGTAACACACTGAATTAAATTTGAAATTTTAAAGTAGAAAAACCTAAATAGTAGGCCTATTGTTTTTTTGTAAAATAATTTTTGTTTTACTTTTTGTTTTAAAGACTTTAATATTGAACTATTCACAACGATTTGGGAGGCAAAAAGTGTAAACGCACTAACTGATTCTTACATCAAGTAAATATTGCTAAAAATAATACTTTTTAGGTGTTTTCTGTCATGATATATTTATTTTTAAGATGAAGCAAAAATCAGCAGGTGAGTTAGAGTAAGGCATTTTTTAGGGTTATACTGAAAAAATAAAAGGTTTTGTGGTTCAGCTCCATTCCCAGCATGCACCAGGGCATGAATAATTAATATGGCTGCATTGTTAGACCATATACCAGTTTTATTTACACAGTTGTTGGGGGTTTTGTTGTCAAATTTATAAATGTTAGACATTTTAAGGTATTTCACAAATAAATTTATGATGAATATTCATGTAAATATAAAATGTTCATTTCTTATAGGAAAAAATTAGATCAAGCACATCATTTGAACTATTTAAAATAAAAAATAATAACTGTAAAAAAAAAACTTATTCTTAATCATTCTGCATTAACTCAAAACATTTATTTACCGTGTAAATTGATTAATTGAACTTAAAAAGCCATACAAATGGTTTCCCTGAGTTGTATGAACACTTTTTTTTTTTTTTTTTTACATCTGCTCTCTTATGAACAGACTTTTTATTTTACTTTTTTTTTACACCTTCTCTCTTAGCTGTTAACCTTGTCCTAAGCCAATGTTTATTTTTATTTTTTCAAAATGCCGTTTACTGTCTGTCTAAAATCGCATATTTTCCATACCTCTTCTGAATTAGTGTTAATTTTGTCAGACATTTTTAATTTAGTCTTAGTCTTTAAAATTAGTCTTAGTCTTAGTCCTGGTGTCAAATGTACTTTTTAGTTACTATCATATTTAGTCTCATATACTCATACACATGGTTTATTTTACCTCATCTAGTGTACAGATTTATTATAGGCTATTTAATATATAAATGAATATCAAAGACTTAGATATGCACTCACTCTGTTTACATTATGAAAACTGGCAAAAACAAACAAAAAATATTTTAACAGTAAAATTCCTAATAGGAATTCCAATAATTCCAAATTGCAATGTTTCTCTATTTAAACAACAGCGGTTAAGGAAGTGCATTTATTCAGCAGCCACAATCGCAAACAAAATAGTCGAGATCTCATGACAGAACACAGACTGGCTGAATGACACTTTCGTTTGAGCTGAACATCTCACATGGAGATCGTTTTCAGATCATCATCGGCGCTTCCGCAATGAAGAATGAGCTCATGCGTATGGTTGCCAGATTGCAAAAAAATAAGCAAAACACCAGGCAGAAAATGCATCTTTTTAACAGAGAAGCTCTGATTTGTGGATTTGAACTCTTGATATCTGGCAACCGCACACATGAAAGCTTGTTTAGTAGAGGCGTGTACAGCAGTCCGCAATAATATTTTGTCTCTTTTTTTTTGACGAAAATTAAAAGAAAATTTGGTATAGTTTTTTTAAAATACATTTTAGTCTCATCTTTTATCGTCAACGATATTGCATGTTGATGTAGTCACAGTTATCGTTTATTGACCTTATCGTCTCGTCTTAGTCATGGGGGAAAAAACTTGTCAACGAACATTTTTCATCATACTATTCTGAATGAGTAATTACTTTGGGACTGTTAAAAAGTATATACTATAAAGTATGAATCAGGGTTATTATAGTTAAGTGAAACTAAAACCATAAAAGGAACACACTTTTTTTTTAAACTAAAAATTTAATGGACGTTGAAATAAAAAAAAAGTAACTTATTTTATCTCAGCTAGTTGCCAAGGCAACATTTCTTATTTTCATTTAGTTTAACTCGATGTACTAAAATAACTAAAACTGCAATAAAAATTAATAAAAACGATATAGACATGTTAAAACTAATAAAATTAACACAAATTTAATTAAAAATGACAAAAGCACGCAACAAAGTTGCTAAAACTTTAACTAAAATTAAACTGAAAACAGAAAATATCAAAATAAAAACTAGTTCAAAACAGTAAAAACGATAATAGTATCTCAGTCATACGAAAAAAAAAAATACTGGTATGAATGTGTGTAGTAAGAATAAGTCTGGATGTACTACATTTGCAATATTGTCTTGTGTCCTCTTATTCCTATTATATACACTGTAAAAACTGATTTTTCGAAGTTGTACATAAAACAAAGATTATTGGAGTATATAATTTTTTGAGTGAGAATTGTTTCTATACCAAGTTTTTTTCAGTGTAGTAGGGAAGTATGTGATTTTGGACGTAGTCAGTGTCTCAACCAATCATATCAATTTGGGGCGGAGCTATCTATTTGTCTGACCAATGACTGGGTAATGGAAACCTGCTTGAAACAGTCATTTTTGAGTTTTTGTGTTTTGTTAGTGACACAGAAATGCTCACTTCACCTTTAAATTCCTGATCAAACTCCTGTTCCCCCTTCATTTGCGCAACAAACCGTTTCAGCTGATAAAACCAAACACAAGCATGGGAAAACCAAATAAATTGGAAGCCAAGAAGAGAAAAGCTTGGTTTAACGTGCATCTGGCTTGTTCGGATGCCTTTCGGGAACGCACACACACATCCACATGGCCTGTTCAAATACCTTTCTCTGCTTTAGGGTCCAACATTAGGCTGACATAATGAAGCAGACGCTCTGCGAAAGAAACGGCGGGTTTGATTTTTCATTTGCGCTCAATGGATTCCTGCCTTGTCTTTTTAGAGAGCTGCCTTTACCTTCACTCAGGACGACACGCGTGCACGCACATTTTAATGAGCGAAAGGAGTGCTTCCCGCCTCACTATTTACAGATGAGGAACAGGAAGTAAGGCACTTTTTATAGCCAATCATTTATTCTTAATTGGTTGCTCTGGCAAAGGCTTTTAGCATAAGCCGCGCTATATTCATTTACTCCACATTTTCTCTACAATAGAGCCTAATGGACAGATTTAAGACTTTAAATGAGCACTCTCAAAACCTTGCCCCCTAAACGAGAGAGAGCACGTGTGTGTGTGTCTCTGTGTGTGTTTGCACGTATCACTGTGTGCACTCTCACATTCGTGCCGTTTGAAAGCCACGCTGAAGTGGGCCGCAGTTTGTGCCTTTTGGAAAGAAAAGCACCCAGTCTGTCTGTGTTTTTTAAGTGAAACACAACATTTTCATTTAGTCCAGTTTGGACGCATTAAGCCATATTGTCTGCGCGTGTTTCCCTGAAGAAGCTTGTTAAGGAGCAGCGGCGTGCTGCTTTTATGTGCTTGTTACCGTTCGACGAGGCTTATTCACGCCATCTCTGGCTAATGTCCTGCACGGCCTCCGTGTTTCTCCGCTCGTTTTAGTCTTAATCAAGTGTAGTGGTCCAACAAGGCCCACAAATATCACATGCTCTTACCGAAAGCCGAGATTGTTTTGACTCCCAGTACCTTTCTTTGTGCGCTCGTCAAACGTTAAATATGAAAGAAAGCACACGTATACATGCTAGGTTTGTCTTTCCACGAATAAGTGGCACACTTTTCTAAAAGCTGTATGCAGAACCTTTTTTGTCATTATTTTTTAGCATGACAGTCCGTATATACGTATTGTTGTTCAAAAGTTTGTAGTCAGTAGAAATTAATAACTTTATTCAACAAGGATGCACACAGAGTTTTCACAAAAATATTAAGCAGCACAACTTTTTTAAACATTGATAAGAAATGTTTCTAGAGCAGCAAATCAGCATATTAGAATGATCTCTGAAGGATCATAAGACACTAAAAACTGTAATTGACTAAATAATATTTCATAATATTACTGTTTTAACTATTTTTGATTGCTGAGCATAAGACTTTTGAAAACAT